AAAGCTATAGCAATGGCCATCTGCCCTATTATATTATTATTATATTATTATTATTATTGTTATTATTATTATTCATCTTATTACTTAGCACGTGCTCTCATGCATGACGTGGCGGGGAATTTGCATGCGCAGTAAGGATGCGTAGAAACAAGTAGCACGAACGTCCTTAAATGACAGTGTAGAATCTGTTACCACAGGAATTCTTGAATGGGAATTGCAGATTGGTTGCTGTAATGCAGTGATCTTGGATTTCTCAAGTATAGTTTATTCTTCAGTAGATGACAAGAATCTATTTTTTTGAGGAACCTACCTGGGCCAAAACATCTTGTGTCTGTGAAAAAGCAGAGAGCACAAGCTGCTTTGTTTTCTGAAGTTTTTAATTTTATGTCAAATTACTTTGTTGTGGTGTTTCTTTTGTTCATGAGTGGTACATGGCCTTGGTAAGTTAGAGATGCTGAAAAATCAGAGGAAGTGTCTTTGAGACTAGTAACTGGGACTTCTGTTTCTAATGGAAACAGGATTATTTATAGTATGGTACAGTGTTTTCTTTAACGCTCAGTGAAAGTGCACTGTAGTTGTTTTGTCTGTTGCACAACAGGAGATTACAACAAAAATAGGATACTAAGTGGATGAAGACAAGGTAATGTTGTCAAAAAGCTATCAAAATTCCTTCGTCACAATGAGTACAAGATCTTTTACTGGTGCAAACTATTTTGTAAAACCCACATGTATAAATACTACTAGAAGTTTTGGTGCAAAAGTGAGTGTTCATGAGGGGGAAGCAGTCAAGTACATAAAGAATTGGGTTAGTGCAAGAGAAGTGTAAGCAATGTGAAGGTGTTGAGGATTTTTTTGCAATAACATTAACAGCAAACATCAATGTAGAACGACATTAAGAGATTTTGGACATGGAGCTGGTAAGATGTTCTTTTTGATTGGAGTGGTTTTCTGGGAGTTTTGTTATGGTGAAGGATATTTCTGGATATTTATTACAGTTGAGGTGCTGTGGCCAGGAAATAACGAGGATGTTGAAGTAGTGAATGTATTGATTACAAGCAGGATGGCTTGGGAATAGCAGTGAAATTTCTGTGTCACTTGAGCAGTAGGTCAAATAACTTAAACAAATAAATGGAATTTTGAAGGGGGAAATGTGTATTTTCATAAGCAGTATGAAGCCAATCAGTACTTCTTTCTCCAGGTGTTTTGGGTTTTGATTCCTTGTGGAGCTTGTTAGGT